GCTTTGTGTCACAATTACAAAGTGGAGCTAAGTAGATACGAAATCAGCAACAAAAGCAAGTTCATAAATGCATGCCTTGGAGCTACTCGAATGCAACGCCAGTATTGAGACACAGCCTCCAAATTTATCATTTGCATAGCCACAATAAACTTCCTTTATACCTAAAAAGGGGTAAGAGTCATCTCATCATTTATGAATAAACCAATTTTAGAAAAGTTCAATTTTATTTCATTATTACCAATAGATGTACCAATGATCAATAATGTTGCTGCACACATTATGCATGGTTCACATGTCACTGTTCCTGAAGTACATCAAGAGCTTCCATCTCTGCATGTCTTGTTGCCTATGAAAGCGCTAGGAGAAAAACAAACCAAGCATATCATATTTAGGAGCTTTGTCAGAAAGACAGTTTCTCATAGTGCAGGTTAACATACATTTAGAAAATGCATTTTATGAGGAATGTTTTCTCCTTCAAGTTAACTGATCGAGAGTATATATAATAAGTGACATTCCGAAATTTCGCCTATTTGGGATTTATGAAATAGCTGATTTTATTAATGTGCTTGTAGGCAGTCTCGCCCGGAACTGATTATTCCTGGGATACTAACCTATAGGGAAAGGCTAATGAGGGATTTAAATTCGCACGACTAGAGAGAATTCGATCGCGGACTGACTTTCGATCAGAAAATTATCGAGGTGACATTTTGAGCCAGTGTAGGCCGATCTTAGGGTAGTGATGGGCCGATTCGTTATTGTCATACACGTGGATCACGGGTGATTCCGTTTGACCCCGAAATGAATTGACAAACGATCCAGAACCTATTCCAAACGATCGTACTCATCGGAACTAGTGATCGACCCTCGTGATTTTATTGACAACCGAAGTTGTTACGGTCTGAATAAATTGCACGTGACTCGATTTAGTATCAGTCACGGGTCGATTCTACGAATTTTCCGGAAAGCCGCCCGTTAGTTAGAGATATGCACGAGTTACATTATATAGAATTTAATTATTAAATTTAGACCAAATTGGATATCGGAAAATTAGGAAGTCACGGCAGAACGTTAGGATGACGTTGCGGTAGTAACGTGCGATTTTTGGGTGTGCCCGAATCCTTCAGAAAAATTCAATTTGGGCAAGAAAATGAGAAAGTGATCATTTTACCCCAAGGATTTCTAAAGGGCAAGGGCATTTTGGTCATTTTGCCCTCAAATTTAGAAAAGACAATTTTGCTCTTGAACTTTTTGAGAAATTACAAGATTGCCCTTGGATATTTTGAGTGAGATTCGATCTGGGCCGTTGATTTTAAGAATAGATCGAATCTGGACCGTTGGATCAAAAATGTGAGAAAGGGGCATTTTGGTCATTTTGCAAAATTGGGTCAAAACTTGGTCCTTAAGTTTGGGATCATTCTCTCTCTCACTCTCATTGCTCCATCGTCCTCTCTCCCCTCCCGATCTCTCTCTCTCTCCCGTGAGCTCTCCCTCCCATCGTGTCGCCACCGCGCCGGACCGCCGCCACACCGCCGTCCCGGATTGCTGCCGCACCGCCGCATCGCCGCCTCACCACCATCCCACCGTGACTCTCTCTCTCTCTCCCTCTCGGTCTCCCTTGGCCGTGAGCCTCACCGGCCACCGCCCAAGCCACCGTCGTCGCCGCCGCTTGCCGTACACCGCCGCCACCACAAGCCGCCGTTAGATCTCGGGTTTTGCCGCCACTTTCGCTCTAACCGTGATAGTTTAGAGCTCGGTAAGTCGCGGCCTAAACTTTATCTAGTATATCAGGTTATTTCGGACCTAGTTAGAAACGGGTTGTTATGGTTTTGCGGGCGAAGTTGATTTGCGAGGCCTAGGAATGAATTCGGAGAGTTTTGACGGAAATTTTAGAGGCCGATCAATGCTGTGATGTGCTGTTCAGTATGCTGTGGGGTGCTGTTTGAGACGCGATTGGTACCGTTAAGTCCGGCTCGGGATTTTATGCAAGTGTCGTGAAGAGTCGGAAGCGTGAAATTGCGATTTTGGGTGCAGAAAATACTGTTTGCTGGCTGTGATATGCCGTGTGATGTGCTGTGAGTGGCTGTTCGGTACGCGGTTAGTACCATTAGGACCGGCTCGTAATTTGATGGAAGTGTCGTGAAGAGCCGAGAATGAAATATTGTGATTTTGGGTGTGAAAATGGCAAATTGATGGCTGTGTTGTGTGGTTCTAAGTGTTGTGATGTGCTGTTGGACGTGTGGTTTCCGCCATTAGATCCGGCTCGGAATTTTATGAAAGTGCCGTGAAGAGCCGGGAGTGAGATATGGTGATTTTGAGGGCGTAAAAGGCTGATTGATGGCTGTGATGTGTGGTTTTAGGTGCTGTGGGGTGCTGTTTGTAGTGTGGTTGGTACTGTTAGGTCCGGCTCGAGATTTTGTGAAAATGCCGTGAAGGGCCGGAACTGATTTGATAACGTTTGGGCGTGGAAAAATGCCAGTTTGTGTGTTGATCGTGTGTTTTGTGATATGACTGTGTGGTTGTGATTTATTGGGTGCAATTGTGTGCACGTGTGAGACTTGTGATGTGCGACGTGCGTGTGATCACTAAAGGGCCCTGAGGCGTGTTTACGCGGGGTTTAGATAAAATCTGGTATGTTGGTGTGTACGTGTGATCACTAAATCCCTAAGGCGTGTTTACGCGGGGAATTGAACCGGCCTGAGGCGTGTTTACGCTAGTCGTGATACGACTATGGGATCGGGCCGAGTATTATAAGCTCGGGTCGCGATCAAGTAGGCCTGTCGCATTTGGCGCGGGCTCAAGAAAGTGGAAATCGGTCCGAGGCATGATCAGCTCGGGTGAGACCGGGATCGGACCGAGATATTGTAAGCTCGGGTTTCGGTCACATAGGCCTGTCGCATTTGGCGCGAGCTGAGGAATGGGATCGGACCGAGGCGTGTGATGCTCGGGGCGCGATTGTGTGGGCCTGAGGCGTGTTTACGCGGGCCGAGGAAAGTGAGATCGGGCCTGAGGCGTGTTTACGCGGGTCGCGATGGCAAGTTAATGAAAATGATGTGATTGGTGCGTGACCGAGTGTGGAATGTGGAATCGGAAATGTGGTATGTTCGATGTGTACGTGGACTTGAGAATGCGAGTGAGTTGTAGTGCGTGTGGTTGAGATGCGTGTGAGAATTGCTTGTTATGATTACGGACTAATGTGCAGGCTGTTTATGCCAAGAGTCCAGGATAGTGTGATCGTGTGGATGACGATGTTTGTGTTTATTGCTTGGTTGTGTCTGGATATGTCTGGAATACGTGGTAGCCTAGGTAGGGTTTAGGTTGTGACTTATTGAGAAGTGTCTCATGGTTGTATCAACCAAACCATTTCAGAGCCCCCGACTGAGCCATGAGCATATTGAGGCCGACTCGGAACCGTCGGGTGATCAGACAGCTGAGGAGGATTCAGGTGGTGATGCCGAGGACAGTGAGTCAGAGTGGACGCCTTCGATAGGGCGTGGGGACTACTTCTGGGAGCGAGGCAATAGTTTGAGAGTGCCCCATTTTTGGATAATGCTGATCTAGGATGTTGATCCTTTTTGTATTTTGAAAGTTAATAATTACTGGTTCGGAGTACTTGTAAATTATGATGAATATTGTAAATCTTTGGAAGTGTAATGTATACATATGTTGGCGGTTCTGCAATCTAGTTATTCCTGGTAGTCTCCAATTTTATTGTCTGGGATTTTATAATTGTTTCCGCCGCGAATCAACTGTGATGGGAACATTGGGTCGGTGACGTGTTCCTGGGACGTCGCACTGATTCGACCGAGCTAGAGAGAAGTCACGGGTTCGATGGGGTTCGGGGCGTGACATAATATTGATCAAGGCATATACTACATGAACTCAACAAGTTTCGCTCGCTTAAATTGCTGAGAATCTCACATGGAAAAAGAGGCTTTTTACTAGATTAGCCACCTCCACCTTTTCTAACAGCATTTTTATATATAACCCTGTAGCAAGGTTCCTTTGTTCTTTCAGTATGGTCCCAATGATGATAAAAGGGCCAAATATTTTTCGTATCAACTATTCATTACTGTCCACAAAATCATTTTTAGTAGTGTACTGTCACCATAAAACTATAAATAATTGCAGCAATAGGCTATTATATAGGAGATGATCTCTACCAGAAACCAGGCTAAACTATTTGTGTACATGTGGCCATTGTATGAAGAAATGTGCCCAAGGAGTTAGTTCTTCCATCTTAAAAGGCAATACAATACTCGCAATGCATTTTTGTACAAAGTAAGAATACCAAAGTCTAACTAACATGTAGCCTAAGAAAATTAATATTAGGAACTTCACAAAAGCTGATAAAAACCATAATATGGTTCCAGACACAGCACAATGATAAATGAAAAAAGCAACACATTGTGCATAATAAAGCAAGAATATTGCTATTGTTAGCCTTAGTCATATCTTATGAAAGAGTAATGGGAACAGAACCCTTTATAGCCTAATAATGCATGGAAATTCCATTATTTGGGAGTGCTCAAGCTAAGTTTAAGCTTAAGTATTCCATTAACTAAACCCCTAGGTAGTGTATCCCGAGGTAAGGTTGCAACAACTACACATCCACATTCCTAGACACCTCAAAAGCACCCAAATCCCTCCCTCCCCTCCACCTCCCCCTCCCCCGCCGTCTCTCTCTCTCTCTCTAGTGGGGCGAATTGTCAGCTTCAACGCCTAGTTTCGCATTAGTGAGTTCCCAACCTATAGCATCCAGGTTGGCTTAGGTTTTCACCTGAAACGCAGACTGAACCAAACCATGTACACCCTGCTTCCCATTGTTTCACTCTCCCTCGATTGTTTTTCCTTTGAACCTAGACTTCACCTACTTTTTTAAATAAGTCGCCACCCTTGAAAAGAAAGACAAAAAAGCTATACCTTCAAGGGGTTGTTGATGATTTTGCAGCGTGTAACGTCGATTACCAATGGATTCACTACCAAGCATCCACAGACTAAACTTATGAAGAAACACTTATTCAACATATCTCGAACAAATTCAACGACACAATCTTCAAGTTCCCGCGCAATTGTAGCACCATACAAGTTGAATTCAAAATTCATCTCAAGTATCACATTTCGGATGTGTCAGATGTTACTCGATATATAGCAAGCTACATGAAGCCCAGAACCTCTGCAGAGAATCGTTCACGTGAAGCTACATCATCAGTTTCCATGGCTTCGGACGGCAGTGGTAGTCCGTTGCCTTTGCTCGCCGGCCTCCATTGCCATCGATTCGATAGGGACTTTATTTCAGGAAGACGAACTTCATGGTTCGTCGCCTTCATTGGCAGGTGGGGATCTCACATTTGTCGGAGCTTCACCGGTGTCTGATGGAAGATGAGCAGTTGCGATGCTGAAAGTGGCGTTGGTGGAAGTTGAAGTTTGCCTATGGCAGAGAAATGAGGATTTAACAAAAAAGAAAAAAAGATATATTATACATGGCTATAATACCCAAAGAAAGAAGGCGGAGAGAGAAAAACTAAAACCAAAGAAAAGAGATAAAAGAGAAGAAAACGAGAGGAACACGAAGAAAGAAGGACAAGATCAACTGAGTTCACTCACCTACGAATTGCTTCCTCACCATTCTCTTCTCTATCGGTCGAATTGGAAGTCAACACCATCTTGACTCGCTTGCCTTGAGGGAGAATAAACTCATGGTTTCTCTTTGATCCTATTTGATTATGTTCCTCAGTATGACAATCTATTTCTCTCAAAGTGTCTTCGTGCATGCTTGAACTCTCAGTTTCTGAATTGGTTGAGTCATGACCAATCTCATAGAGTAAAGCTGGATCCATTAGCTGATTGTGCTGGACCATAACCTTTAGATTATCCTCTAGTTGCTTGCATATTATTCGAAATCCCCACTTTTTTAATTTTTCACATGACACTTCAAGCCCAAATTGTTTATAACTTCCATCAATTGGACCAAAATCGATTGCTCTAAAAAACAAATATGGTGTATGAAACTGAAGCCAGAGATGATCCGAATCAAAGGAATTGAGCATCCATTCAATGTCCCCCTGTCTTTGGCCATTAACATATGGTTTTATGAAACAACTTTGTTGCTCTTTCTGTTCATTATTACTGAGAACGACACAGAAAGCCAATCCAAGAAACTTGTTATACAAGTCCTTTGAAGCCCGGAAAGATACCAAACCTTCTTCAACGGGGACGAACCACTCTGGCATCTCTCCTCCAGGGAGACAAATAAAGGAATAACAATCAATCTGTTATAAGATAAACCATTATAAAGTACCCAAGTTTGTTATTAGTACTTAATAGAAGAATTCAATATGAGTTTCATAAGCAATCTAAGTGAATTCCATTTCTAACTAGAGCTCTATAAATGAGTAGAGATTCATTGATCCTTGCTTATATTAATATACAAGTCTCGTGATAAAATCGTTCCTATAAAAGAACTGTAGCCACCTCCATTCCAATCTTTCGTTTTTTGCTTTTGCAATATATGAGTACTCACTAGATCCCGCGTACACTCCACATCAATGTGTGCGTGTGCGTGTGCGTGTGCGTGCGCGTGCGTGTGTGTGTGTGTGAGAGAGAGAGAGAGAGAGAGAGAGAGAGAATCTAACCGTGTATTTCTGAATCATGCTCAACCCTTTAAGGGCAATTTCACGGGATGAAATGAGATCTCCAGTTTTTTGCAGAGATTTGCAATTATCCGCCCAAAAGTAATTCAAATATGGTGGAAGCTCGGGAATCTCTTGCAATTGATAGCAATCTCCCACATTTAACAGGGACAAATGATCACGCTTATTGATGGATGTTGGAAGGTTAGTAATATTGTTCCTTGACAGATTTAACCTTCTCAAGACAGGAAAACTGGAAAGATTCTCAAGAAACTCCACTTCGAACAGGTTACATCCCTGAAGGTTTAAATATTGTAAACTTGGAAATCCAGTCTTCATAGACAGATTAGCAGGATCCTCGTACTTTGGAAACCCAATTAAGGTCGTGCAATCCTGAAGTATCAATTCTTGAATGTTTTGTAACTTGTATATGGTGGACGGAAGACTTATTAGGTTCTTGCAATTACATAAATCCATACTCTCCAAAGAGACAAGATTTTCTAGTGATGCAGGAAGTTCTTTGATAGCGGTCCCTTTTAAAAAAAGAAATTTCAGGCTTTCGAGTTTATGTGGAATATCAGGGAACCTTTCAAAACTTTTGCATCCACTTAAATTCAACACTTGTAACTTGTTATGATATGCAATTGACTCATGGGCTTCTACCAAGTTTTTGCAATCTCGGAGATACAATTCCTTAAGTTTTGGAGTGCACGAGAGGTCGGGCATACTAACTAACAACTCGCATTCACTGAAATCAATATACTTCATCTGTTGGAAGTCCTGAAAAACAGCGAAATCTACAGTCAATTCGAAGTTACTATATACTGATTTTGTGAGAATAATATATTGTATTGAGAAATTACTAAACACTTAGTGATTTTGCTAGTAATTACAAATCTGTACATATATATGGTAAGCGATTGAAATTTAGAGAGGATAAATCAAAAGGCTAATGGATATTGGTAGGATGTGAGCCATGTGGCAAGAAAAGGTGAAGTGCCACACAGCGACCACGCGAATGTGGGCCAAGTGACAAAATTAAGCCATGTGTCGTGCCATGTGTGAATTATAGAAGCAAAGTGAATGTCACGTGGCAAGCACAGGAGTGAACATTCTTTCAATTTCAGTTTAGACTATATATAATAAGCTTAACGTAAAATATATATATTCTTTCACAATGAAATTTTCCCAAAAATTAATTAATTTTTAATTTTTTTGAAGTCACGCAATGACAATGAAACCAACTTTGAAAAACATTATGAAGACAAAAACATCTCATATATTCAATTCAAAATCTAGCTCTAACATTCGATTAAGAAACTAGTGGTATGTCACTGCTAGATCCCTTATATCGAATTATTTGTAAACGCAGTACACACATTACTAACAAAGTTTATAATAGATATATTACTACATCTACGTAGAATTGTTGCTCCTTAAGAAATGATTTAAGCGATTAAGAATGCCTTATAATTCTATAGATGCGAGACAAATCCTGCGGTTTACCTCTGTGCATAGGGTAAGGCTTCATCACTTGATGACGACTTGGCCCCTAAGGTAACTTTGAGTAGGAGATCCAGTTTTAGGATATTTGATTTGTCACATCTAAATCAAACACTTCACCACTCAGCCAGCCATTCCTTCGGTGTTTTTACATTTATACACAATATCAATAAGTTTGTTTGTCATATAATTGTTTCGTTCATATTCGACCATTGTACAGTTTTTCTATAAAGTAGAAAAGGTTATATGTAAGCAATCGACGCAAGAATGAGGTTACACAGCTTACACTAGCACATTGACATTTTGAATTTCTTCACTAGATAGATTTGATTTGATTTGAAAGTTAACTATGTCAGATTGTTACGGACATTAGGCTTAGAAAGTATTTAAACTTATGATGTAATGACTTCCATAAAAAAAATTTCAAATCTTGAAATATCTTTCTCTTTCACATTGTGTATTTATTTTTAATGAGGTTTTACGCTTAATTTTTCAATTGCCAATTTTGCTGCACGTAAAAATATCTCTGACGCAAGTAATGAGGGGTCATTTTGAAAGAAAATAGCGAAGTGGTGCCTGAAACAGAGGAGCACCACTTCCTTTTGTTTACTAGTACATGTAAAACGCATAATCGTATACAAATGAAGTAGATAATAAAAAGTTCTATGTAGGTAAATGCTTACCTTAAATTGTTTCACCACTCTTGTGATGTTGCCTCCGCTCATATTAAGTCCCACTATTTTCTTTGGACCAAAGGAAAATTCTGGAATCTGGTGAGCACATCCAGGCCATTCAAACCATCCAAGCTCATTAGGAAGACATATAGGACCTTGGAAAGAATTATGCACATTCCGCAAGATGAGCAATCTCAGCCTTCTCATTTTTGTAAAAGCATTAGGATAGATACACATCTCTATCGGCTCAGGTAGTTCCAACACTATAGCTTTTACAGCACAATCTCCCTGTATATACAAGATTAATTTATATTATGCATTTTTGGTAATTAGAGTAAAAAATAAGTAGCAAAATTCTGATCTTATTCACAACTTACCATTTCATGTGACAGAACATCGACAACATCATCATACAACCATAGTCTGCTACGTCTTCTAGGATCATCTCGACATTCTCGGTGCACCTTATCTACACCCATCGCTTGAATCAAATCATGCATTTTTAGGATTCCAAACTCAATGCTTATCAAGGACCTCTTAATGAGAATATCAAATCCTACAGCTGTCTCAAGATCGCAATTGTCAAGAACTTTCTTTGTATACTCTCTTGTCCGCCCCTTAAAGAAGCAGGCAATGTGGAGAAAGATCTCTTTCTCATTTTCCTCTAGCCCATCATAACTTATTTTGAGCACATCATTAATGGTTTTGTCAGGAATTCTAGAAAGTTTTTTTAGCGTACTCTTCCATTCACGTTCTCCTCTATCACGTAAGAAGGAACCCAACAACTCAAGCGCTAAAGGAAGGCCTCCAGCATGTTTCAGAACACTATTCACCAGATCTGTCCTGATTTCTAATTTTTGGTGTGTCGGAAAAGCATGATGGCTAAGCAGCTCACGAGATTCACTGGCATTGAGTGCTTTAACTTCATATATATGATCTAGGCCATGTAGCATTCGTTTATCTCTTGTAGTAACGATAATCCTACTTCCATCACCAAACCAGTTGCCTTCTCCTGCTAAAGCATTCAATTGGCTCAAGTCATCCACATCATCAAGGATGAGGAGAACTTTCTTGCAACAAAGTCTGTGTTGTATTATATTAATACCTTTATCAACATTTGACAATTCTAATCTTTGTTGTAGTAATAATGCATCTTTTAGTAATTTTTCTTGCAAAGTAACTAGACCCATGCAACCTTGTGAAGTTTCTCGAACATTTGCAAGAAAACATGAACCCTCAAATTGACTAACAGTAGCATTATAAAGGGCTTTTACTAAGGTTGTCTTGCCTATGCCTCCGGGACCCCATAATCCCACCATGACAACATCATCATCAAAGTCAACATTTAACATCGATTTCAGCTTAACCACTTGAGCATCTATCCCAACCGGATGCTTAGCAACGTACAAAGGTGTTCGGTTTAGGTGAGTGGAGATTTCCTTCACAATTCTTTGTATAAGCTCCCACTCATCTCTGACAAAAAGCACAAAAACAAGTTGTAGAATTGTTTTAGCAATTTGAATAAGCATTTAATGAGCAATCACCAACTAACAATGACAAAACATTGTGTCACATTTTCAGATGATCATAGCCAAAACAAATTGTATTCCCACCAAGTCGAATTAGAACTCCAAGAGCTCCACACGTCAATCAAAACAAGTTCAGGATTCAACTTTTAGTCATTCAAGTGATTAATGTTCTTTTGATTTATACATGATAATTTACTTATTTTCCCTTTTGACTGTTCTATATGATTTATCTACACGCTTAATCAAAAAGAGCTATTTAGGACTTTGAATGGTGGTTAAGATTGGGATTCGAAAACTATTAAACACCTGCCTTACGTGGCCTGTACAAACTAATGATCCTGTATTTGGCGTTGCGAACTTTCTTACTCCTTCCAAAGAAGTGGGATAAGTGCAAGAATGGCACTTAACAATTTGTCCATTGGTAGATCAAGTTTTAACATTTTATACTTACAATCATATGTGTCGATTCATTTTTTTTAACAAACAGTCTGTATGCTTACTTGTAAAGATTAGTTTCTTACACAAAAATGTGAACTCCACTCAACTTACCCATCATTCAAATGCCACCCAGACGAGCAACCGGCGTCAAAAAGAGCTTTCTTCCATCTCTTTACTTTCTCTGAATCCATCATAAACTGGGACTCATGCTTAACCAAAGCATCGTTGTAACTCCCTCTTGGTGTTCTCACTTCCCTGGGCTCCACTTTGTAAAACACTGAAAAGACTATGAGGTCTCTTTGCTCCTTGCATTCCATGATTTTTGTCAACTCTTCCAAACACCACGGTGAGGAAGCGTAATCCTTGGAGAAAATGATGATCGCGATGCGCGATTCTTCAATAGCCTTCATAAGTGCCGTTGATATTTGGTCTCCCTTCCTCAGTTCCTCGCTATCCCGGAAAGTGTATATTCCATTCTGGTGTAAAGCTTGGTAGAGATGGCCAATGAAGTTGTTACGTAGATCCATACCTCTAAAACTCAAGAAGACGTTGTAAATCTTTTTGGGTTTCGATGAAGAAGCCATTGGATGATGGAGTTTCACAATTGGCAATGACTATTAGCTGAAAATTTGAAACTGTGTTCTCAGGTTGTTCATTCGCCGCTTGATCTTCTTGTTGATTTATTCTGATAATAGAGGACAGAGATGCACGACCTTTTTTGGCTTGGGTGAACACAGAAAAATATTAGAACATCGGAAAATGAAGACCGCGTACGACCACATGACTCGAGCTTCTTCGTGGCCGACAAAAGCAAGGACTAATAATAGATCACAAACCGACAAACAACTCTGGCGTGGTGGATGCGCGTGATAGAGGTCATAGGCTCACTCATGAAAGCAACTTTAGTTTAAAAAACAAAAAACTTTGGTTGTCTTCCTCGAAATTTCGTCCCCACCTCTGAGAAGTAGTTTTTTCCTTGATCTATAATAATTTACCACGTGACCACTCAAGAGATATATAATTACACGCAAAATCAAATATACCAGCAAAAAATAATTTTAATTCTATTAATAATAGATGAACTTTGGAAGAACATGGTGCTTAAGTGTGGACCAAGATATGTAATTGGTGTGAAGAAATGGACTCATTTTCAGTGAAGACCGCACACCAGCTTCGAGGAAATGGCTTTGATAAGTTTGGTCTTCACTTTTCTTTTTTTAATTAAAGTATTTCATGTCATGAGGTTAGCTTTTGTCATAGGCTCAATAATTAAAAAAAACTTTGCTGGCTTCCTCGAAAGGGCATTCCCGACCTCCGAGTAGTTGGTTTTTTCTTTACTTCCTTTTTTTTAAACGATAAATAATAATTTAACACATGATTACATGAAAGGTATATAATTACACAGATAAATAAATATGACATAGATCTAGCGCTATTTCATTTTTCTTTAAAACAAAGGGGCACGAGCACAAAAGGCCCAGCCACCCTGGAGGCCTATAAATCACCCCGTAAGCCCCATGAACAAATTAATTCTTGACCTTTGACTTATACTAGTTGTCCTAATTTAAAGTAGTTTGCACAAGATGGATCAATGGCTTTTACGAGGATATGCTTGAGGAAAATTATAATAACTTATATAGATGTCAGATTTGGCACCTAATGAATCGTGACAATAGGGTTTCTTGACATGCGTGGTTGACAATGACATTTGCTGCCGACTATATGGACTATGGTATGATGCGTATTATGTAATGCATTGAATTATTTGAGGGAATGGCTTCCATCTTTTAGTCTTCATTTTCCATTTGTAATTGAAGTATTTCTTGTCATTAGGTTTGCTATCGTCAAAAGGCTCCCTAGTGAACAAAACTTTGCCAGCTTCCTTGAAAGGGCAATTCCCAACCTCCGAGTAGTTGTCTTTTCTTTGCTTTTCCTTTTTCCTCAAGCCATCAACACAATTTAACACATGACAATTCAAAACATATAAAATCATATGCACAACTAAGTATATGAAACGTATATGAAGGGTCTATCCCTATTTCATTTTTCTATACACACATTTGTTAGCATGAGTGCAAATGCCTGGCTATAAAACGTCCACAAACTCTATGAACAAATTAAGTCCAGGCCTTCAACTACAATAGTAGTTCCGTATAGAGCAATTTGTATGCAATAGCTCAATAACTTTTACGGTAATATGCTGGAGAAAAATTATAACTTGGGTTGTGCAAGTATATATATAAATACACGAATGTCAGATTTTGTAACTTGCCGAAATGTGAGCATAGGGTTTCATGACATGAGTGGTTGACATTGATATTTGCTGCCTACTATAGAATTCATGTGATTGATGCATATTATGTGATGCATTGGCATACGGAGAATAGATGGAATATTCATGTTACTTGATAATATCTACTTGTATTACTTCGGCAATGCATTAAGTCGATTTATAAAAATTGCAGTAATTATGACTCGATCTCATAGAACTAGCGATGATTGCCATTTGCTGAGCCATAATTTTTCTCTCCCTTTCTATTACCATTCTTTGTTAGAAGAACGAGTAAGGAGTAAATGGGGACACTAAGAGAATGATATGGGATGACCTAGAATGGCATTTACCAAATAAATATTTGGAAATTGAGACTACTTTTGAATTCCTTTTATACATGGTTTGGGAATTTTTAAGTTTAGTAGATACAAATTTTACCCAATAAATATTTTGGTATGAAGTCAACTTCTTATGAAATGGTTTTCGTTAAAGCCTTCGTCCTTTATAGGACAGCTGGTCATCCCCTATAATTTCAGTATGAATTTGGGGTATGATAAATATATCAAACATATTGTTGCGAAATAAAACCGTCTACTCAAAATATTTTCACTAACTAAATGGACGCTTTTAGCTGCCGGCCTACCGAAAATGAAAAAAAGCTAACATCTTCACGCTTACCCGGAAGAGTTTTCAGATTTTTGGTGTTAATTAAAAAGCCCAACCTTCCTGTTTGTTCCTCCGGTTCCATCTATGTGGACCACATTGCTGTCTTCACACCCATTAGCTAAGTGCCCATTATTTGAAAAGTAATTTCCATTAATAATATTAGAATTTTGAACACATGGAATCCACTGAAGACGGCATACCACGGCATTATTCGGATTGTCTTATTGATAAAAGTTTCTTTGTTTGATGTTAAATTTATTGTTAGATTTTAGATGAGCATGACGTTCAACATAAGATAAATTTTTAATTAATGTGCCGGCTTGACGGAATGGGTTTCCGCTTGTTTTAGTCTTGGTTTTTCCTTTTCTTATATGGAAAATGAAGTATTCGCTTTCATTGGGTTAGCTTTTGTTATAGGCTCACTAATAAGACAAATTTGCTGGCTTCCTCGAATTGGCGTTCGCGACCTCCGAGTGGTTGTTTTCTCTTTGCTAAATAATAATCTAAAGCATGGCTACTCAAAAGATATAAAATTATATGCACAATTTAAGTATATGATAGGTCTAGCCCTCTTTCATTATTTTTTTATACTCATAGTTTCCCTAGAGGCCCATAAAAAACTCGATAAGCCCTTATGGACCGATTAAATCTAGACCTTTGACCTGTAAGTTGGTAGTCCAATCATATAGCAGTTTGCACGCAATAGGTTAATGGTTTTTATGACAATATGCTTGAGAAAAATTATAACTTGGGTTCTGCAAAGACATATATATGGATTCCAAATTTTGTCATACGGTGAAACGTGACCTTCTTAGTACCTTTTATATGACCTTCGCATTGCATATAGTCGATACATACACACACACACATATATAAAATTGGATTACTCGTGATTTTATGTCATAGAAATAATGATAATTGTCACTTGCTGAGCCTTGATGTTTTTTAAATTTTGTGAATACAAGTTTTACCTGGTGAATGATTTTATATGAAGTTAAATTTTTATGAATGGTTGGTTTTCAAGGCTTCATCCTTTATAGGACGGCCAATCATTTTCTATAATTCGGGTATGATACATATATTAAAATATTTTCGTGAAATAAAATTGAAAACTCATAATGTACACTTAGCTGCCGGCTTACCAAAAAGGAAAAGAAAACTAACATTTTTATGCTAACCGGCAGAATTTTTAGATTTTGGCGTTAATTAAAGAACCCAACCTTTCTATTTCTTCCTTCGTCTTTATATATTTGGGCCACATGAGTATGACATTACCAATACCCACTTTGTTCCAGGGCAGAAAGTCTTACATAAATTGGATCTTAGTACCCCGACATCATTTTATATTACCTAAAAAGTCCGTGCTATGCACAAGAAGTGAAGGGTTAATTTAGGTTATGTTTCAAAATTAACAAAAAATGTTAACACTTCACTAATCTTGTGCAAATCAATTTTGTAATTATTTAAATAAGTAAATTATTGTAGGATAAGATTGGCAAATTTATTAATTTCTAAAACTATACATTTTATTGCATCATTTCAAAATTGTGTAGATGCATTGAAAATTTACAATGTAGAAATCACTTTTCAAAACTTCAAATTACACTAAATTCTTCTTATTAAAATACAGAAAATTTATCACCATATCAAATTTCTCAGAGATCATTTAAACATCTTCCCTGTGTATTATAGTTGTCATACTCTTTGCTATAGAATTTTCTTTCATATATTAATGTTTGTGAGCGATTTGCAGTCTTATAAAAAGGAGCATTATCTTTTCCCAGTTTGTATATTATCGAACTAACAAATAGGTGTTCAGGTCTTGTGTAGTTCTTTCATCTCTTCACTTTCTCCAAATCCTTCCCGAACTTAAACTTAAGCAACTCAAGAATTTTTAGGAATCATAAGATGAAGCATGTATACATATACTTACAAGCACGTGTGCGTCCATTTATTTATTTATCTTTATTTTTAAAAAAACAATATGTCTACTAGCTTGTAAAGATTACTTTTCTTACAGAAATTATAAACTCCGCTTCACTTACCCATCTTTCAAATGCCACCCGGACAAGCTACCGGCATCGGAAAGAGCTTTCTTCCATCTCTTCACTTTCTCCGAATCCTTCCCGAACTTGGACTCGTGCTTAGCCAAAGCTCTCCGATAACTCTTTCTGCCCCCTCTCACTTCTCTTGGGTCCACTTTATAAAACACTCATAGAACGGTGAGGTTCTTTTGCTTGTTGCACTCCATAATCTTGGACACCTCTTCTAAGCACCACGTTGAGGAAGCATAGTTCTAAGAGAAAACGATGATTGAGATGCATGATTCTTCAATGGCCTTTATAAGCATCAATATATGGTCTCCCTTTTTCAATTCCTCACTATTCTAGAAAGTGTATATTCCAATCTGGTGTAAAGCTTGGTAGAGATGGCCGATGAAGTTATTACGCAAATCCGTGTCTCTGAAACTCAAGAAGACATCGTAAAATTTTTTGAATTTTGATGAAGCCGCCATTGGACAATGGAGTTTAACAATCAGCAATGACTATCCACTGAAAATCTGAAACTGTGTTTTCAGGTAGTGCATTCGCCGCTTGATCTTCTTTGATCTATTCTTATACTAAAGGACAGAGATGCAAGACTTTTTTTTGGGTAGGGTAAACAAAGAATAATATTAGAACTTTGGAAAATGAAGACCGGCGTGCGACCGCGTGACACAAGCTTCTTTGTGGCCGACAAAAGTAGGGACCA